GGCTTACTTTGTGGTGTTTCCTTTAAACAAGAAGTTTGCTGGAGCACTGGGGTTCCCTGCATGGTTTCAGTTTCTCCCCTGAAGCATTTAAAGGAGCAGTTGTTGGTCAGTGGCTCTGTGACTAAGCTGGCCCAGGAGCCCTGTGAGCAGCCGCTGATGGGAGGTGTGCTGCTGAGACAGGGAGCTGGGGTTCAGGAGCTGGCACCATGCTCCCGCTGCCTGAGCTGAGTGTCAGAACCACAGCAAGCAGCTTCAAGCTGTTGCTGCTCTCCCCTTCCCTCTTCAGTTTGACTGCACCAACACCCTGAACGACCAGATCCTGGAGAATGTCACTGTGCAGATGGAGCCTACTGAGGGCTATGAGGTCATTGGCTATGTCCCTGCCAAAACCCTGGTGTACAACCAGCCAGGAACCTGCTACACACTGGTGGCTCTGTCTGAGGAGGATCCTACAGCAGGTGAGCAGTTTGCCCTCTCTGCTTGCCCGACATCCCCCAGTTAAGTGTACCCTGCCGCTCACCCCCACACGCTCTACCTTGCATCCGAGCCAGATATTTATGGCCTGTGTGTGGGTGCAGCCCTGAGTGATGCTGAGCATGACTGCTCCTGCTGCCTGGGGCTGTCAGGCCTCCCTTCTCCTCTCCTGCTTCCCTTGTGCTGCAGTGCTATCAGGTCAGGCTGTGGGAGTTGGCAGATCTCTGCTGTCTCCTGTGCATGTCCTTTGGCTGGTTTGTTATTTGTGTGAGTGTGTAGGGAGCCTGGTGTTTGTAAAGTGCTGCAGGTGCCCAGAGGCTCTGAATAGCAGAGGGGTGTTTCAGAGCACTGGAATTCCAGGGATGTCTGTCTGCAGTGAACATCCTCTCATTTGTCACTGGCCAGAACCAGGCCTTGCCTGTGCTTTGGTCTCCTTGGTTTGTGTTTTGGGAGTGCTCACCTCTGTGTTGCTGCTGCTCACCCAGCAGGGCCCATCTTCGGGGGGACAAGTCTTGCTTCCTCTTTGCTATTCATCAGCTGCTGTGTGCAGTGCAAGCTGCTTTCATTTCATAGGTGCAGCAACCATCCCTGGGTAAGGATCTTGCCTCTCCAGGAGGCACTGACAGGACATGTTTAGTATTGCCAACACAACCTAAGGTTCATCAGTAGTAGCACTTAATCTGAGGATTATAGGTTTGTACAACCATCCTGAGCCTGTCTTTATCACTGTTTTCTGGCCTTCATATTACAAATAAATACCTTGTCCTGGAGAGCCAGAAACCATTGGAGTGCTCTCTGAGTCACTGGCTAAGCCTGTGCTGTTGATGGTGATAAGGAGAACCCAGCTCCCCAAGTCTCCCAGCCCTGCTGTGTCACAGGGGAGCACAGATCTGGTGGTAACTGAGCTTTGCCTTTGCCTCCCCACCTGCAGTGGCCTGTACCTTCAGCTGCATGATGAAGTTCACTGTCAAGGACTGCGATCCCAACACGGGTGAGACCGATGACGAGGGCTACGAGGATGAGTATGTGGTAAGGAGCTGGTCATTAGAATTAGTGCTACTGCGAGCAGTGATGTGACCCTGACACCGATGTGGGCAGCATCACGTGAAGAGGTTCTTGCTGTCTGTGGGGTCTGTCCCAGGGTGTAGATGTGGGTTTGCTCGTTTGGAGTATCCTGATTGTGCAGGATGCCTGTTTTGGGGGGCCATGGTGTGTCCTCCAGGTTGGGCTGCATGTTCCCTAGGGGCTCCAGCAATTGCACAGTCAGGTTTGTGGAGGAAAAGGGCTGTTGGACGTCTTTAGTTTTGAGTTGCTCTCCTGGTGTCACACTTGACTCCTAGTGGCTTGCCTGCTACTAGGGTTTGCCATCGTTGTTCTTGCTCTGGGGAAGATGGGGCTTTCCCCCTTGCTCCAGCACGGATGCTGCAGAAGCACCTCTCTTCCAGGCTTTGCCATTCCGAGGTGGGCTGGTTTACTACAAAGGAAGAAGCTGAACTTGTGCTTGGTCAGAACCTGGCACTGACTCACAGTGGGTGGTGCTTACCCTTGGGAAAGGGAGGAATGTTGTGGCACTACCTCAGCTTGCCTCTTAGCTCCAGGGGCTGTTTTCTGTGTGTTTCCTGTAGCAGCTGCAGCCTGATCTGAGGCACTGCTGTGCAGTGAGTCACAGCAGGGGGAGGGTTTTCCCAGTGGGATGTGCAAGGTTAACCCCTCTTTGCTTCCCACCAGTCACCAGGGCATTCGAGTGATGCTTAAAACTCTTCCAGCTCGAACCAGGGGATTCTCCCTGCCCTGCAGTGGCTGCTGAGATGAATGCAGGGAGTGCCTGGCCCGCTCTGCACTGAGCCCCTTGGTACCTGCAGCAGTTCAGCAGCCCAGCACCCAGCATTAGAGGAGGGCAGGCATCTGCCAGTGCCTCGCTGTACTTCAGCCTACAAAGGGATAAACCGGGAGGGCAAACCAGCAGCTTAGTGCATTCCAGGGAAGCAAACGCTGTGTCTGTGTGAGCACAAGCAGCTGTCTCTTAGCTTTTGGGGTTTTTCCCTCTGTGTTGGACTTTAGTCTGTACTTTGATCCATGCCAGGCCAAGGCCTGTGCTCAGCACAGGAACTGCCTTTGTAAACCTGGGGAATTCCAGGCCAAGCAGGGCTTGCTCTGACATGTTGGTGCATGGAGCCCCTCTCCTGCATCCACCTGCTCTAAAGCCCACTCAGAACAGCCATGTTTCACTTGAACCCCTTCCACCACCAGCTCGAGGACCTGGAGGTCACAGTGGCCGATCACATCCAGCGGGTTCTGAAGCCAAACTTCGGAGCAGCCTGGGATGAAGTGGGAGACGAGTATGAAAAGGAAGAGACCTTTACTTTGTCTGCTATTAAAACCCTGGAAGGTGAGGGGGTGTCTGAGCTCTTAAGATTCCTTCTGGCTCCCTTCAGGCCTCTCACAGCGAGGCTGCTGGGGCAGATCCCTTCACAAGCTGTTCAATGCAGAGCTGCAGTTACTGTAATAACAAGTTAGCTCAGGCCTCAAAAACCCAAGAGTATTCTGAGTCCTATGGGGATGAGGCTGGATTGTGGGAGGCAGGAGAGAGTCTTGCACTCTGCCATCCCAGGCAGACAGACCTTCCCTGAGGCCTTTGAGATCCTCCTGAAGACTGATGTTTCCTTCCATCTGCACCCACTCTAGAGAAGCAAGCAGGCTGTGCAGGAAGGTGCACCCAGCTTCGCTCTGCTTCCTCCCTGGTCTGACTCATTCACCATCATCTTTCTGTTGCACTTTTGCTGCATCAGATACAGAACTGCTGGGGGGGGGTTAATGCTGCTTTTGCCTCCAGAAGCCATACCAGCCAATGCTACCTGTCCCTCAAGACAAGGAGCGTGAACCCAGAGGTGCAGGGAGGGTTTGGGTCACCTCTGGATGTTCTGTGTGTCCCTGTGGTGTGGATGGAGCCTGTTCTGTTTCCTTCACAGAGGCTGTTAGCAACATTGTGAAGTTCCTGGGGATGCAGCCCTGCGAGCGCTCGGACAAGGTGCCGGATAACAAGAACTCGCACACGCTGTACCTGGCAGGTACGTGCAGGCTGGGGGGGGTCACACAGCTGCGTGCAGTGAATCAGGCAGCAGCGTCTGAGCAAGCCCACTGTGCTCCTGCTGGGATCTGGAAGCTTGTCCTGCTGTGGGTTGTGGCTCTGGAAGCATACAGCAGGGGTTGGGATCAGCTCCAGCAAGGTGGAATTTGCTGTCTGTGTCATCTGTGGCATCCTGGTTTGGAGTAAGCCTGGATCAAGGGCTATTGGAGCTCTGGGATGAGTGACTGGTGGTCATGGGGGGAGTCTGGGTCTCTTCTCAGCTGGGGTTAGTTCACTTCACACTTGGATTTCAGGAGGTTCACAGCAGGAAGAATCCCAGGTCTGCTATGATGAGAGAGGGAAGCGATGCTCAGGGCTCTCCCCTGTTGGGATCAGCAGTTGGGAACAACTGCAGTGTTCATGTTCAGGCTTGCAGGGGAGGCCTGAGCTGTGCTCTCCCTTCATGCTCATCCTGTCCCTCCCAGGTGTGTTCCGGGGGGGCCATGACCTCCTGGTCCGGTCCCGGCTTGTCCTGACGGACACAGTGACAATGCAGGTCACTGCCCGCAGCGTGGAGGAGCTCCCGGTGGATGTGATCATGGCCTCGGTTGGATAAAGCCCCTCTTCTACGACTGTCCCCATACTGAACCCTGTGGGCATCGGTTCTGGCTATGGCAGCAGCACAGGGACCACGCTTCCTGCAGCAGCTCTTGTGTTCTGTGCAGTGCGGCTGGATTGGGGCTGTCTATAAAATAAAGGTGTTTTTAAAGCTCTGGCTTTACAGCGTGCTTTATCCTGGCATAGGAGAGTCCCTCGAGCTTGGGAGGAGAGGCCAGGCTGGGCTGTGACAGCCGCTTCCTCTCCATTTGATGTAATTCAGATAAACTTATCTCAGAATCCCAGCCTGGTTTGTGTTGGAAGGGAGCTTAAAGCTCATTCAGCTCCAGCCCCTGCCATGAGCAGGGACCCCTTCCACTGGAGCAGCTTGCTCCAAGCCCCTGTGTCCAACCTGGCCTTGAACACTGCCAGGGATGGGGCAGCCACAGCTTCTCTGGGCACCCTGTGCCAGCGCCTCAGCACCCTCACAGGGAAGAGCTTCTGTCTAAGAGCTCATCTCAGTCTCCTCTCTGGCAGGTTCAAGCCATTCCCCTTGGCCTGTCCCTGCAGGCCCTTGTCCCCAGCCCCTCTCCAGGTTTCCTGCAGCCCCTTCAGGCACTGGAGCTGCTCTAAGGTCTCCCCTTCAGGAGCCTTCTCTTCTCCAGGCTGACCCAGCCCAGCTCTCTCAGCCTGGCTCCAGAGCAGAGCTGATCCAGCCCTCACAGCAGCCCCGGCCGTGCCCCAGCCCCCGACCCGTCCCGGGGAGGCGGAGCCGCTCTCTGCCCCCCCACCCGCACCCGCCTCCCCGCGGGGCGGAGCCCGGCCGTTCCCGTGGCCCTATTGAAGCGCTGGGCCCGGTTCCTCTCCGCTCCGCTCCGTTCGGCGGGGATGTGCGGCCGCACCGCCTGCTCCCTGGCCGCCGACAACCTCCGCCGGGCCTGCGCCTACCGCGACCGGCGGGGCCGGCGGCGGGAGCCCGAGTGGATCCGCGCCGAGCGGTACCGGCCCTCGTACAACAAGGGCCCGCAGTCCAGCGGCCCGGTGCTGCTGTCCCGCCGGCACCTCCAGCAGGTACGGGCCCTGCTCCCCCCTCCCGCACCCAGACAAGGGCGCCGCGGCCGCTGCGGGGTAGCTCGGGGTTGGCCGGGGCTGGGATGGGGCGGGGGTACCCGGCGTGACCCGCGGTCACAGCCATGGAGTGGGTTGGGGTGAAGGGAGCTTAAAGCTCGTTCGGTTCCAACCACGGGCAGGGACCCCTTCCACTGGAGCAGCTTGCTCCAAACCCCTGTGTCCAACCTGGCCTTGAGCACTGCCAGGGATGGGGCAGCCACAGCTTCTCTGGGCACCCTGTGCCAGCGCCTCAGCACCCTCACAGGGAAGAGTTCAGGCTGTGGGTGAAGTGTGTGTTACCCCTGTAAAGAATCACCGGCTTCTCTGGCTCCTCTTTGCCCAGTGTGTGCGGCTTGCGGTGAGGTTTCTCATTGCACAGGTACCTGTTCTTGGTATCTGTGTGCTCCTGCGGCAGGGCAGGGGGGTTTGGTGCCACGCTTCCAGCAGTGCTCTGTTTCCTCCCAAATCCCTATGTAAGCGAGTGCCTGTGGCAGGTTTTCCCGCAGTGTCTGTAAGTGCTCGGCTGGGTTTACTCTGGGTTTCTGGGGCTTTCTCCTTTCACAGCGCTGCCGTGTGCAGGGCATGGGGGGGACGGGGGGGGGGCAGAGCCAAACCCCTCAGCTCCGAGCTGTGAATAACGGTACCGCGGTGGTGACCGTGTCCTGGCGAGGTTCAGCCTCTCCAGAGCCTCCCCAGCCAGTATGGCCAGTACGGCTGTTCTGGGGTGAGCAGGAGCAGTGCTGGGGTGAGCAGGAGCGGTCCTGGTGTGAGCAGGAGCAGCCCTGGGGTCAGCAGGAGCAGTCCTGGGGTCAGCAGGAGCAGTCCTGGGGTGAGCAGGAGCGGTCCTGGGGTGAGCAGGAGCAGTCCTGGGGTGAGCAGGAGCGGTTCTGGGGTGAGCAGGAGCAGTCCTGGGGTGAGCAGGAGCGGTCCTGGGGTGAGCAGGAGCAGTCCTAGGGTGAGCAGGAGCGGTTCTGGGGTGAGCAGGAGCAGTCCTGGGGTGAGCAGGAGCAGTCCTAGGGTGAGCAGGAGCGGTTCTGGGGTCAGCAGGAGCAGTCCTAGGGTGAGCAGAGTCCTGGGTCAGCAGGAGCAGTCCTGGGGTAGCAGGAGCAGTCCTGGGGTGAGCAGGAGCAGTCCTGGGGTGAGCAGGAGCAGTCCTGGGGTGAGCAGGAGCAGTCCTGGGGTGAGCAGGAGCAGTCCTGGGGTGAGCAGGAGCAGTCCTGGGGTGAGCAGGAGCGGTTCTGGGGTGAGCAGGAGCGGTCCTGGGGTGAGCAGGAGCGGTCCTGGGGTGAGCAGGAGCAGTCCTGGGGTGAGCAGGAGCAGTCCTGGGGTGAGCAGGAGCGGTCCTGGGGTGAGCAGGAGCGGTCCTGGGGTGAGCAGGAGCAGTCCTGGGTAGCAGGACACCTGGGGTGAGCAGGAGCGGTCCTGGGGTGAGCAGGAGCAGTCCTGGGGTGAGCAGGAGCAGTCCTGGGGTGAGCAGGAGCGGTTCTGGGGTGAGCAGGAGCGGTCCTGGGGTGAGCAGGAGCAGTCCTGGGGTGAGCAGGAGCGGTCCTGGGGTGAGCAGGAGCGGTTCTGGGGTGAGCAGGAGCAGTCCTGGGGTGAGCAGGAGCAGTTCTGGGGTGAGCAGGAGCGGTCCTGGGGTGAGCAGGAGCGGTCCTGGGGTGAGCAGGAGCGGTCCTGGGGTGAGCAGGAGCAGTCCTGGGGTGAGCAGGAGCAGTCCTGGGGTGAGCAGGAGCAGTCCTGGGGTGAGCAGGAGCAGTCCTGGGGTGAGCAGGAGCAGCCCTGGGGTGAGCAGGAGCAGTCCTGGGGTGAGCAGGAGCAGTCCTGGGGTGAGCAGGAGCAGTCCTGGGTCAGCAGGAGCAGTCCTGGGGTGAGCAGGAGCAGTCCTGGGGTCAGCAGGAGCGGTCCTGGGGTCAGCAGGAGCGGTCCTGGGGTGAGCAGGAGCGGTCCTGGGGTGAGCAGGAGCGGTCCTGGGGTCAGCAGGAGCGGTCCTGCTCGGTACAGAAACTGGGGCAAGTCATTCAGGAAGCCCAGATCGCTGCTGGGGTTGGGCTGGGTATCGGTCGGCTGGTGGTGAGCGGTTGTAGTGGGCATCACTTGTGTTCATTGCTTTCTTTTCCTTTTCCCCTTTCAGTTTTATATTCTCTCCCCTTGTTATTCCCCTTATCATCATTATTGGTGGCAGCAGCAGTGGGTTTGTGTTACACCTTAGTTACCAGGGTGTTCTTGTCTCAACCCATGAGGTTCACGTTCGTTCCTTTCTCTTCCCCATGAGCAAGCGGCTGCATGGTTCTGAGTTACCAGCTGGGCTCGAACCACGACAACGGCTGTTGCTGCGTCTCGCTTGGTTTCCACATGAGAGGGTGCCCGCTGAGCTGCGGCTCTTCTGTGCTCAGTGGGGCGAAGCTGGGTGCACTGAATTGAACCCCCTGATCTGGGCATTCCTCTTACCCTCCTGCCCTGTCTTGGGGTCCCACATCCCTGGCAGTGCTCAAGGCCAGGTTGGACACAGGGGCTTGGAGGAAGCTGCTCCAGTGGAAGGGGTCCTTGCCCGTGGCAGGGGTTGGAGCTGGAGGAGCTTTAAGGTCCCTTCAACACAAACCATTCAATGATGATTCTATGACTTCCCCTTAAGCAGTCAACAGGCTCCTGGAGCAGAGGGACGTGGGGCTGGGAGGGTGACAGCAGCCACCAGCAGACCCCCCCTTGTCTCTGACCATGTTGTAGGGTGCAGGTGCAGTGTGAGGTGCCCTTTTTCCCGCTCCTGAGCCATGGGAGGCTGCAGAAGCCTCCACAAAACATACCCGTCCCTATACACATGCACCTATAGCATATAGTGCTATATACATATATAGATATATATGCATATCTAGATGTATGTATCTATATATGTATATATCATATATATACACACACATAGATAGATGTATATATCTATTTACATATCTACATGTATATATCTATATATGTATATATCATATACACACACACATAGATAGATGTATATATGTTTACATATCTACATGTATATATCTATATATGTATATATCATATATATACACACATAGATAGATGTATATATCTATTTACATATCTAGATGTATATATCTATATATGTATATATCATATATACACACACAGATAGATGTATATATCTATTTACATATCTAGATGTATATATCTATATATGTATATATCATATATACACACACACATAGATAGATGTATATAACTATTTACATATCTAGATGTGTATATATGTATATATCATATATACACACACACATAGATAGATGTATATATCTATTTACATATCTAGATGTATATATCTATATATGTATATATCATATATACACACACACAGACAGATGTATATATCTATTTACATATCTAGATGTATATATCTAGATATGTATATATCATATATACACACACACAGACAGATGTATATATCTATTTACATATCTAGATGTATATATCTATATATGTATATATCATATACACACACACAGACAGATGTATATATCTATTTACATATCTAGATGTATATATCTATATATGTATATATCATATATACACACACACATAGACAGATGTATATATCTATTTACATATCTAGATGTATATATCTATATATGTATATATCATATATACACACACACATAGACAGATGTATATATCTATTTACACATCTAGATGTATATATCTGTGGCCGTTCTTCAGGCCTCGGTCCCCAGCCATGTGCTGCGGGCAGAAAGTGAGAGCGAGCTGGGGGGAAGTGAAAGCCACAAGCAGTGTCCGAGGGCAGGGGCAGGTGCTGTGCAGAGCACAGGGTGCCAGGGACCGGGGCCAGCCGAAATCACGTTATTCAAATGAAGGTGAGGTTTGCACCCCTGGGACCTCGCTGCGAAGAGGGAAGTGCTGAGGACCCCGGTGTCAGCCCCACACGGCCATTAGTGTGCCCAGAAGGAAAACCATGTTCATTCCTGCAGGGAGCGGCGGGGAGAGCCTCGCTGGGGCTCTGGGCTATCATTTATCCCAGTTGGGCTTTGTGCTGAGTGTTAATTCGGACAGAAAAGCCTTTAACAATGTGCAAAGTGTTCCAACAAGCGGCTGCTTCTGCATGATGGGGAGGGAAGCCTCTTCCACGGGGCTCTGTGAGGCCCCTCTTGGTCCGTAGGGATGCTCGTGGTCCCCATGATATGGCTCTGATCCAGGGTGTCCCTCTCTCCTTCACAAGGATGCTGACTCCTCTGAGCGGGTCCTCATGGACATGCGCTGGGGCCTGGTTCCCTCCTGGTTCAAACAGGACGACCCCTCCAAAATGCCGTTTAACACCTCCAACTGCCGCAGTGACACCATGATGAGCAAGGCCTCCTACAAGGTGAGCTGCTGCTGGCTGTGGGTCCAGCTTGGGGAGATCTTGGAGCCAGCAAAACCAGAGCTGGGGCATCTCGCTGGTGAGTACCAGTCCTTGTTTCCCAGCTGCACAGGGGTGAGTCCCTGCACTGGGGCTGTATTGAAAGAGAAGAACTGAAGCTGCTGGTGAAGGACCTTTGATCACAGCACTGGTGGGGGAGACCCAAGAGGCAGTGGCTGGGCTGGGTCCCCGTTCTCCCTCGCAGCCTGCCCAGTGCCACTGCTCACCCCTGTGCTTTCCCCCCAGGGTGCTCTGCTCAAGGGCAAGCGCTGCGTGGTCCTGGCTGATGGCTTCTATGAGTGGCAGCAGCAGAGCGGGGGGAAGCAGCCGTATTTCATCCACTTCCCCCAGAGCAAGGACACTGCGGTATGGGATCCATCACCCCCACACCCTGCTCCCTCCCACTGGAGCCCCTTCCCTCTGCCGGGTCCATCCCTGTCTGTTCCTGCTGGGGCTTGGGGGTGTCCCTGTGTGGCAGTGGTCCCGGCCTGGGAGAGCAGCAGCAGCATCAGCAGCGCCAGGCTCAGTGCTCCGCACTACTGTGATTTGCATGGGGGTGATGTGTGGCTCAGGGGACCGGGCTGGTAGTTTCGGTACCTCTTTCTTTGCTGAGCTGCTTGAACCAGGAGAAGGGCTCCTGGAAGCCCTCAAATGAGCTCAGTTCATCACTTAGGTCCTAGTTGTTGACCTGTCACAGCTCCAGCCGGTCTGTGGTGCTGCAGCTGCCTGTGGGTCAGCTCTGATGGGCAATGGGGCCTCTCTCCTGCAGGCTGGGGAGGAGGAGGGAGATGAGGAATGGAAAGGATGGAGGTTGCTCACCATGGCCGGGATCTTCGACTGCTGGGAGCCACCGGCAGGAGGAGAAGCGCTGTACACGTACACCATCATCACTGTGGATGCCTCCAAGGACCTGAGCTTCATCCATCACAGGCAAGTGAGAGGGGAGGAAGCTGTGCCTAACACTGGTCTGGCAGCAGGCAGGGAGCCCTGTCTCCTCCTGATGTCCTGGGGGAAAATACAGCATCACCAGCTCCTTTGGGACCACTGGCTGATGCCCTTTCCACATGTCCTGGCTTCAGTCATTGCTCTCCTCCTTGGTAGCTGGTGCACTGCTGTGGTTTTGACTTCAGCCTGAGAACAATGCTGATAACACCGAGGTTTTAGGGTCTCCTCCTGAGCTGCTGGCTCCTTCCTAGCTTTCAAGCCTGGCTTTTGCCCCTGCGCTCTGCCATATCTGACTGTCTCATCCCCTAGGATGCCAGCCATCCTGGATGGGGACGATGCCATCACAAAATGGCTGGATTTTGCTGAAGTACCAACCCAGGAAGCGGTTAAACTCATCCAGCCCATAGAGAACATTGTTTTCTACCCGGTCTCCACCTTTGTCAACAGCATCCGCAACAACGCACCCGAGTGCCTGGCACCCATCGAGCTGGGAGCCAAGAAGGTGGGTGCTGGCAGGGGGGAGCTTGGCCACGGTGACGTCCCTGAGCAGGGACAGTGCTGGCTGGAGGGGCAGCAGCAGGCAGTGTGTGCAGGGCTTGCCTGTGCTCCATGCAGGGGTGCAGAGCCCTGCATCCATTCCCTTCCCTCCTTTCTGGGAGTAAACCTTCACACCGTGCCAGGGTTTCTTTGCCAAATGAGGCAAATCCCATTTGAAACGGGGCTGGGGACAAGCCTGTTCCCATCAGTGGGGCGCCTCCTGTGGATGTGGTTGATGGCAGCAGGGCCGATGCTCCAAGCCTCCACATCCCACCTGGGATCAGCTCCTGCCGTGTTTCTGACATCTCTCCCACTGCCTTTTGTCTCTCCAGGAGGCCAAAGGCACCCCCAGCAGCCAAGTGATGCTGGGCTGGTTGAAGAACTCCCAGGAGGGCTCTTCCCAGAAGAAAGAAAACGATTTGCCCAAGGGGATGAGGCAGTTCAGCCACAGCCCTTCCCCCAGGAAAACCAGTGCAGGAATCCTGCAGCAGTGGCTGGGGAAGGAGGGGGAGCCGCCAGCCAAGAAGCACAAGGGTTAGGCCCAGCTGGACCCCAGCATCCTTCCTCCTCCTGGTCTCCCGAAGCACAAGGAATGGTGTTTTTGGGAGGCTTTGTGGGTGGTGTTGAGATTCTCGGAGCCTCTCAGGTGTTGATCCAAGACTCTAGGTTGTTATCTGTGTTCTCGGTGTTTTGTTAAAGGCTGATGTTTGTCTTTAAAGGTTTTGGCTTTGCCTGGTGCTGATGGGAGAGGATGTAACCTGCTGGCCTCCCTCCAGCCATTCACTTGTGCCAAGCACAGATAAAGCCCTTAGAAGCTTCTGAGCCTGCCAGGGAGGAGCCGCTGCTGCCTGCTGACAGTGCTCATAGTTCACTCTTCTGTTCCCTTTTACTTCGGTATCAAACTAACGCCTCTTTTCTGTTTCATTCCTTGTTGGTTCTATACAAACTCCTTCCTAAAGCCCTCACCCTCTGTGGTACTGAGGAGCACGCACTAAACACCAGGAGGAAAGCCTGGAGTCATCCCATGCTGCAGCACGTGCATCCCTGGCTCCAAACCCAGGAGCTGTGTGAGGGGAGCCCGGGGCAGCGCGTCTGGGTCACGTTGTTCCTGCAATCCTTTGTTAATGGGATTTGAAGGCTCGGGGTGGATTTTCCTGGTGTGCTCAGGGCTGATGCTCCGGCTCACACAGGGCGCGCAGGAAGGCTCAGCTCACCAAAGTGCTGCTGCACAGCAATGCTGAGCACTTGGGTTTGAGGTCAGGGATTTTGTGCACAGCCAGATGTTACAGACCAAAAGCCTTACACAGTGGGACCCTTGGTGGAAAGCACCGATTCACTGCTGTTGGAAGCAATAAAATGGGAGTTCACTGCTTCACTGCACAATACTCTGCTCCGTGTGTGTGTGCCCCTTGCCCATCCCAGCCTTGGTCTGCAGGGAGAGCTCATCTCTCCTCCCTGTCTGCTGAGGGGGAGGCCAGGTACCCACTGCTGAGCTCTCAGGGTACCAGCAGGGCCCTGTTGCTGGAGCATTCCCATTTCCCTGCGGATTTATTCTGGGGCTCCTCTTGTATGCTCTGTCCCTGGGGAGCTGCAGGGGTGGCTGTAGCTGGGGCTCATCCCTGGAGAAGGACAGCAGAGTGGGGCAGAAGGACAGGGATCCAGCGAGTCCTGAGCGCTCTTAAAGCCAAATCCATCCCTGAATCCTTCGTGAGCCCAGAAGAGCTCCTGGCTCATGGGAAGCTGCGGTGGGATTAGGATTTCCAGCCAGAAAGTCACTGTTCCTGGCACAATAAAGAGGGTTTCGGTGCCTGGGGCTGTCACCTCCATGTCAGCAGCCCCGGGGTAGGTTTCTCTCCCTGTCCTGCATCACTCCTGCTGGGTGCGCGGCTCAGCTGCTCAGTTCAGGCTCTTCTGAAGGTCATCAGCCCAAGTTCATTCCGGGTCTCCAATTGCTGCGCAGGAAGCGAAGATGCTGAGCACGAGTGAGGGCTGCTCACCTTATCCACTCTGGGGAACATCATCCTTCCGCTGGGGAGGCAGCGGCAATGCAGACACGCAGGGTACAGATTATCTCCCTCCAGGCTCTGAGCACCAGGAGCAGCACCACCAAAAAGAACCCCTACGCTGAGGGTTTAATGGGGAAGTGTTACTGGAGCTACAGCACCTTTAACTGGAGCCTGCCTGCTTGCTCAGCGCTGTTTGCAATGGTTGCTCCTGCCTGGTGGGAGATGACAGCAGCAGCCTGGCGTGACCTGGCACCAAAACTGGCTGGGGAGCAGCGTTTCTCTTTGCTGGATGATGCTTTGGCAGGGAGGGCACCGCTCGCTGCCGGAGGGAGAGATGCTCTATGTGGGTTTCCCCGGGTACCCGGGCACCATCCCAGGAGCGGCTCTGGCTGAGGAGGGGGCTTAGACAGCGGGGGAGGTTGCTCTGCCGGGGCACCCACCGGGGCTCCGGCCAAAGCCCCTCCGCGGCCCCGGGTGTGGGGGAGCTCTGGTGCGGCCGCTTGGGAGCCGGGACCGTCCATGCCAGGGGCCGAGCTCAGGCGCTCCCCACCGGGAGCTGCCCTGGGCGCCGGCCCCGCAGCAGAACCGGGGCGCTGCGAGCCCTATGCAAATCAGGGATCAGCGCAGCCACCAATCAGCGCCGCGGCGGCCGCGGCGGCTACCAATGGGAAGGGCGGGCGGTGGGGCGGGCAGCGATATCCGCGGCGCGGCAGGAGCGGCGCTGTCAGTGCGGCGGCCGGCGGTGCGCAGGCCGGAGCGGAGGCGGCTGCGGGTAAGCGCGGGGCAGCGCGGCAGCGGGCGGGCACGGCGGGGCTGGGCGCGGGGTAACGCAGTTTGTGTCCCCGCAGGCGCCGGGACCGTCTGTGCGCGGCGCTCCTTGCGGAGGCGGCGGCGAGGGGCCGCTGCCTGCGGCCATGTCGGGCCGGGGCAAGTCCGGCGGCAAGGCGCGGGCCAAGGCCAAGTCGCGCTCGTCGCGGGCCGGGCTGCAGTTCCCCGTGGGGCGGGTGCACCGGCTGCTGCGCAAGGGGAACTACGCGGAGCGGGTGGGCGCCGGGGCGCCGGTGTACTTGGCGGCCGTGCTGGAGTACCTCTCGGCTGAGATCCTGGAGCTGGCGGGCAACGCGGCCCGCGACAACAAGAAGACGCGCATCATCCCGCGGCACCTGCAGCTCGCCATCCGCAACGACGAGGAGCTCAACAAGCTGCTGGGCGGCGTGACCATCGCGCAGGGCGGCGTCCTGCCCAACATCCAGGCCGTGCTGCTGCCCAAGAAGACGCAGAGCTCCAAGAAGTGAGCGCTGCCCCCTCAGCCCCTCCACCCCGGCCCCATTCTCACCACTGCCCCACCTCCCCTCCTCATGGGGTTGGGGTCTTCTTCCTGTCCCCCAGCCCGGGCTGGGTGCTGAGCTCCGGCAGCACCCCGCCAGACCCCCACTAGCCCCCAGCCCGGGCTGCCGTAGGGCGCTGGGGGAGGCCAGGCCCTGCGTGTGCCCCTATCCTGCCCCTCTTCCCTTTGGAAGTCTGGAAGAGGCAGCTGGATCACAGCTTTCAGCAGCGGCAGCACCCGGAGCTGTATGGTTGGGGCACGGTGCGGTGCTGCTGTGGGTGATTGGGGTGGCCACGGGCACCCCCGGATGTTTCTCCCCTCCGCCAGCGCCGGGACTGTGCAGGCTCCCCCTCAGCTTCCCCTGCTCACCCCAGTGTGAGGCTGGGACTCGATGTTGCTGTCTCCCCAGCCCCTTCCCGGCCTCACTGCAGCGGGGAGAGCAGGGGCTGGGGATGTGAAAAGGAGGAAAAGTTTCTCCTTTGGCAAGAAGTGACTGCTCGGTCCTGCTCCTGGTGAAGCTCATGATTGCCCGCTGTCAAGAAGCTCTCCTCCTATTTATTTTACTGCCCCTTATTTCGGGTCCCTCCCTACAAAGTCACCTTCCCCATCACCCCCATGTGGGGGCTGCAGGGTCCCTTGCGCCGTGGGTCCTGCCGGGGTGGGGTGGAGGCTGCGGTGACGAATCCCCCTCGGAGAGCGTCGCAAGGTCAGGCGGGAGCGGGAGCTGCCATCTTCTGCTGTGGCTCCATCCCTGCCTCCCTCCGGCTGCAGCAGCCCTTTGCCTCGCCCGGAGCTCCCCGAGCCCTGGTTCCGCTCCCGGAGATGACATTCCCGTGTCGTTCCTTTCCGTTGTGTGTTTGTTCCGCGCTATTCCTGCTTCTGGGAAATAAAGCAACGGTGATCTCCGTTAACTGTCACCCTCCATGGGTTAATGGGGTTTAACCCCCTTGGAGTCTGTATTGAGCCCGTTCCCGGTTGGTGCCGTGTCTGTTTCCCGGCTGTGTGGGCTCAGGGTGAGAGTGGGGCCGGTTTCCTGCCTGTGGCACCCAGGATGGCTGGTGCAGAGGCAGCTTGCCCTGCTTGCATAGGGGCCGATCCCCGTGTGCATGCATCAGTGTCGGGCCATTGAACCCTCACAATGTGAGAATGAGCATCCTCCTTATGTACTGTAAGTAGCATGTGTTCAACCTCTGAATCTGCTGTTAAATCCTGTGATAGGTAACTTGCCCTGGCTCCAAGTTTGTTGTTATTACGATAGAGTAGCTGAACCTGGTGCTTGTCAGTGGGTTTATGAAGGGGTTTTCATTCCCATGTGGAATATGTTGTGCTGATGTGAGTGCAGACATGTCCCCTGGGATGCCCTGACCTTGGTGGGGTGGGGGTGGCCAGCATGGACCCCAGGATCCCCCCTCTTCCATATGGAAGTGACTGCTGCTGTGGTGAAATGGGGTGAGGGTTTCCCAGCGCGGAGGTCGATGTGTCTGTACCCAGTGTCTTGTTCTGTCCCTCTCGTTCCCCCCAGCCCATGTTCTGTATGACCTGAGTGCTTTGTACCTCTTACAGCAAACACAGACTTGTGATACTGGAAAGAATGGTGCAAACCCTGTATCTGATTAAACTGGTTCCCTCTTGAATGCTGTTTAATGTGCTGTGTCTTGTCCCTGCTCCGTGCCTGGGCTGCAGGAGCTCTGGTGCAGCTTCCTCCAAGGACTGCTGCTAACACCAGATGTGGCCTGGCAGAGCTCCTGCTTGCCCTTCCCTCAGACAAGCAGTTTCTTCCTGCCCCGGGACCAGGTTAAACCCTTACCTGGCTCTTTGCTATGGGAATGTCACATTGCCTGGTTGCTCTGTGACCAGCACCGGTAAGCCTGAACTGCCCCTGAGGAGCGAGGCTGGAACCAGGAGCTTCCTCCCACCCGATGGGTTCATTGGCACCCTGTGGGTGACCTGCAGGCAAGTACCCAGAGATGGGAAAAGCTGGTCCTGAAGGGGTGGCGAGAGGGCTGGAGACAAGGGGCTGCTCTCACTCCCTTCCTTGGGGATCTGCTGGTTTGCTGGTCTGGGGATGGGTCTGTGAGGCAGAGCTGCCCCCTGCTTGGGTTGTGGGGAGAAAGCGTTGTGTGCCTCAGACAGCTTCCAGCATGGTCAATTGGGTGCTGGTGAGGGCTGTGTGGAGCTGCTGGACTGGTCTCTGACACCTCCCCTGTCCCAATGCTGTTCACTGCAAAAGGCAGAAACAGGCTTTAAATTGGAGTGCCCTGGGGTAGGGATGGTGATGTGTTGGGGTGCTGCACTGCACCCCCAGGCCTCAGGAGCTCTGTAGCTGCCCCAGGCGTGGTGTGGTTCTGCCCATGCCGGTGGGGTGATGCTCACAGCTGTGACTGGGAGCTGGTGGCTCATGTGATGCTCTTGGTGCTGAGCCGCCTCCACCAGCCACGTGATGGACCTGCTGGGCTGTCACAAGGCAGCCCCAAGGAAATCCTGTCTCACCCGAGCGCTGCTGTGGTGCTTGACCTGCATCACCTCCTGAACTCCACATCTGAGCACTGTCATCACCGGCAGAGGGGAAGTCATGGTCTTCAGTAGGAAGCTGGAGTGGACTTTGTCACCTTCGAGCCTGCAGCTCCATAGAAAGGTTCTGTAGAGCAGCGTTGCTGGTCTCGGTTCCTCTGAATGCCTCACAGCACCAGAGCAGTTGAGTTGATGGAATGTGAAGGACTTGGTTGAGTAGAGCCTCCCCAGTGGTCCTGGGACCCTGAAGGGTGTCTGTGGGTCTCTGCTTTTATGGCTGCGTGTGCTCTTCCCCTGCCTCCTCATGGGCACCCGAAGGTAAGATCACAGCGCTGGCAGCCTCCACATGGCTCTGGTACTGGCTGTGTCGGGATGAGACTGGAGTCCCTGGTCCCAGGAGGTCCTGGGGGTTGGGTTTCTCTCCAGAGCCTGATCCTTGTGGCTGTCAGCACCTGTGGGAGCTGCTGAGGATGCTCCAGCAGCACAGCCCCTGCCAGTCTCCTCTGAGGTAAGATGCTGACCCCAAGGTGTCACCCACA